ATCCCCATCCCCATCCCCATCCCCATCCCCATCCCCATCCCCATCCCTACCTCCATCCCATCCCCATCCCCATCCCCATCCCCATCCCCATCCCCATCCCCATCTCCATCCCATGCCCATTCCATCCCCACCCCCATGTGCCCATTTCCATCCCCATTCCATCCCCATCCCCACCTCCATCCCATCCCTATCCCCATGTTCCCATCCCCATCCCTATCCCCATGTTCCCATCCCCATCCCCACCCCCACCCCCATCCCCATCCCCATCCCATCACAGCTCTGGCTTTCCTCCCTGCTGTGTCCCATAGGAGCAGCTCCATCCATCCACCTCACCCCACAGTGGCTGTTTCCTCAGGAATCCTGCTAATCTCATTGTGAGCAGGACGGCCTCATTTGCCCGTGATTTTAATTTCCCTTCGAGTTTTGCTTCCTCCTATGGAAGGTGGGAAATGATGCAATGCTTCAAGCAGAGGATGGGATCGTCCACACCTTCCTGCTCCATCTGCAGCAAAGAGCCCCAGCCACAACTCAAACCGATGGTCCTGGGGGGTCCCTTACAAAACGTTGCTCCCACCCTTGGCTGCCTCTCCACCTTTTGCAGATTGCTTGTAGCATTGGAGCTTTAACGCACAAAAAAGACCTAAAAGTGCACAGCTTACATAAAATGGGAATGGGGAAAATGTTGGCTTTGGCCACATTTCTTGGCTGCCCTTTGGATGATGCTGCTGTTCTCTGTTACAATTGGGTAAGAATGAACCTCAAGGGAAGAGGCTAAAACCCAAAGCGCAGAGGGAGTGCTGGGTTCCTCCAGCCAGAAGACCTGCATGAGTGCTGTAAGCTAAAATGGTGCTGGGTGAGAGGCAGCAGATCTGGAGCTCTGTGGGCTTTGTTCTCATAGGGGGCACTGGCAGCAGCTGAGAGCAACCCCTGGGTGCATCCTGTGCAAGCCCTGGGCACAGAGCTCCTTCTGCATCTGCATCGTGAAGCAGGGAAAGCGATGCACTCAGCCTCAAATCAAATGTGATGCCAAGGCTCTGTGCACTGCCCTACTGCCCCAAAGAAATCCCAATTTCATCAATTCCCCCATCAGCACTGTGCTGCATGTTGAGTTGTAATCGTGACATCCTCAGATTGTAACGACCACAGCCCCAAGCCAGCAAAAATCCCTCGGAATCCGGCCTTGAGGCTTTGCCAGGAACCCTCCTTCCCACCCCGTCAGTCCTTCTGATGAAAGCTACCAGAATCCTCCCACCAGCTCCAAAAACACAACGTTTTAACTCTTTTCTGGCTCCCCACGCTGCTGACGCAGCTCCCAGCCCCATCCTGCTGGGATTCCTCCCTGTTGGAATCCGATATCAATTTTTGGCCGCGGCTGAAGTTTTGGTCGTGATGCTGTTGAGGGTGGAGGTTTGGGACGCTTGGGAGGGGAGCTGGGATGTTTAGGGGGGGTCAAGATGCTTAGTGAGGGGTTGGGGGCGTTTGGAGGGGAGTTGGGATCTTTGGATGTGGGGTGTTGGGATGTGGGGAGGTTTGGGGGGTTTGGTGGGGGGGTTTGAGGATGATAGAGGGGGTTGGGGCCGTGTGGGAGGGTTTGGGGATGCTTGGGGGCTGCAGGGATGCTTGGTGGGGGGGTTTGAGGATACTTGGGGGTGGTTTGGGGGTGCTGGGGGGGTTGTTTGGGGATGGATGGATTTGGGGACGCTGGGATGCCTTCCCATTGCACCCCCAAACCTGGTGCAACACCAAAAGCCAGCGCAGCGCAGCGCCCATCGCCGTGCCTATCCCAATGAGGGCACAAGCAATGAGAACTGCATCTCTTTCTCATCAAACCCACTTCTCCCCGCTGTGTAACGCACAGAGTTTGCTCTGGGAGCCCCCAGGATGTTCTCCATCACCTCCACCCCATGCACTCACCTCCTCTCCCCTCCTCCTGAGTCCAGCCTGCGCTCCGTTGCCTTTTTGGAGAAGGCTCTGAACCGTCCACCCCAGAAAGCAGAGCAGCAGCATTTTGCTTCCCCTCGTATTTCCCTCCAAAAAAAAAAAAAATATATATATATTTTTTCCTGTTTTGGTTTTTGTTTTTAGAGACGAGAGGGGAAAAAAGGAACTGATGCCAATACTTCTCTGATCACCGCATGTGTGGATGCGCAAAGAGCCTCCCCAAAAGAAGGCATTCCTCTGCTCCACGGGACTCAGATAACCTCAGCCTGCAGCTGGTCACGTTTCTTCTTTCTGATAGGGAAACTGAGGCAGGAAGCGAAATGACAGCTGGAGAAAAAATAAAAATAAAAATAAAAATCCCCAAAGTGTTGAAGGGAGGGGGAACCGAATCTGAGAGCTCCGGCCCCAAATCAGCAGCTCTCAGCAGCACAGCCCACAGCCCAACCTGACCCTGCGTGGTGCGGGGGTCCCGGTGTCCCACATCCTACATCCCAGTGCGGGGGCAGCTCGTCCAACCCCCCTCAGTGTCATTTCCTGCCTCTGGGCTGCAGCTCCGGGACGTCTGAAGGAACTGAGCAGTGCGGAGCAGCGTCCGAAGGCGACGCCGGGACGTATAGGATGATGAACTTTGCATGGGCATCACTCATCCTTCTTCATTTTACGTTGGGTAAAAAGGCATTTCTTTTTTTTTACTTACAAATTCCTATTTGCTGCTTTGGGGGTGGTTGTGATGCTGAGATGCTGTGCGGGGCTGAAGGGTTTTGGGGGTGTTTTCTCAGCAACTGGGGGGGCGAACTGAGAGCAGCTGGGAGCTCTGGGTCACAGCAAAGCGTGTGCTCAAGGTTTGATAGATTGCAATGCTTGCTGTACTGCACTCAAATGAACGCTCCGTACAGCTGAGAGCTGTAAGAGAGATAGAAACAGGGCGAGGGAAAAGGCAGGATTGCTCCAGCTGTGCTTTGGGAAGGCAGAACTGGAGTCAAGTTGGGCAGTGGCAGCACCCAGAGCTGCTCCTGCTTCCCAGGCAGCCAAGGAATGGAGCTGGGTGTCCTTTGAGGGGTTAAATGGGATTTTGGGATGAAAGCTCCTCGCTGTGACTCCCGTATTATTTCCCGTATTATTCTTAGCGTGGCTCCAGCGTAAATACAGCAAATAGCTTTCTCAGAATGCGTGGGGAGAAAGTGCTGGGAGTTTATCCAACTGGAGCCAAAAGGAGCACAGCTTTTCCCATGGCCATAGGATGTCGGCTGGGTGGGTATGAAGCGAAATGGAGCTCCAAAAACTGGAGATTGATGGGATGTGAGCAGCTTTAGAGGCAGGGAAATGGGATTCAGAGTCGTCATGCTCCCTAACGGTGGGGTGTGACGCTGAGAACCACTGGGTCCAGGCTGGGGAGGTTGTAGGGCAGAGAGGGGCAGCTACCAACCCCCATGCAACCTTAACGTGATGGGTGTCAAATCGTCCATTCCCAATTGGCTCCCTGTATACAAAAGTCCGATGTGGAGAAGGGAAACGAGCGGGGGCTTGCCGTGGTTTGGATTGAGCTGTGTGTGCGTCCATTTATAGTGGCTTGGCAGGGAGGAAATGCCAGGTGAGCGCTCGCAGCACCCCGAGGGCACCCAGGATGGATGTGGGCACTGGGGATGAGCCCCACAGCCCCCATTACTCCGCTCCTTTCCTTCAAATCCGTCCCTAAAATACAGGAAAACGCGACGCGGCGGCCAGCCCGTAACTTGATATCTTTTGTTCCACGACCTTGATTTAATTACGGACCAGATTGGGAATCCGTTACTCCCACGGGGGGAGGGGGGGAGAAGCAACTTTTGCACAAAGAGCCAATAAATCAGCGAAACCATTCCTGCAAAACCACATCCCACAGAGCTCCGTGCAGGGGGGAAGGCAAAGCGTTTCTTTTTTTGTGTTTTTTTTTTTTTTTAGGAAATGCTGAGATAGGAGACGAGGAAATGACCAAGTTTTTATACGACTACGCATCTCACTACAGTAAGCAATCTTCGTTTTGGGCTAATTTTGTGCAAATTGAGCGATGAAAGCGAGGTGGGGTGGGGAGCTGGGGTAGGAAAGAGGATTCAAAGGACAATCCAGAGCTGTTTTGATGGAGCTGGTCTGGCCCCTGCAGTTCTCATCATCACATGAGATTGCATCCCGCCAAGCCAATGGGTTACACTGGATGTAGATGCAAAATGGGCTCACGGGGCCTTGCTTTCATTCCAGGTGATTACTTATATGCCACTGCAGAGTACTATTATGACAACACCACGCTAATGCCCACAGTGTACACGGTGCTCACATACTATGAAGGTGAGGTAAGTCGGACTTCCTCTTCGTATTACTGAAAAAAAGTAGAAAGGGTTCTTCCACTGCAGTGAGAAATGGGTTTGAAATGTTGACTTGCAACTGTTGGACAACACAGAAGTGTTTGGGTGGAATGCATCCACGCCGCAGCTGTGATGTGCTGTTGCATGCAGGCTGTGATTCTTCCTGAACGCCCCTTTGAGCACCATATTGCTTTGGGGAAGAGATTTGGGAAAGATGGTGGTACTCTTCCAAATTCTAAGCAAACTGGAGGTCTTTGCTTTGCTAAGCTTCTGATAGGGAGAGTCCCCCGAGGGATGCTCCCAATGCAGATTGCCCCAACTGGGATGCTCCCAATGGAAACTGCCCCAACTGGGACGATCCCAATGGAAATGATCCCAACTGGGATGCTCCCAATGGAAACTGCCCCAACTGGGATGCTCCCAGCTCCCCACAGGGACACTCCCAACAGGGATTATCCCAACGAAGATACTCCTGGGCACATTTATTTTCCCCAAGGCCTAAGCAAGGGGACAGCATGAAGGCAGAGCAGTTGGGCAGGGCATGAATTCTGCCACCGCACAACACAGCTCCAAACCATGCTGGTTTTGACCCATTTCTTTTCATTGACTTCCCAGGAATATTTGGACGCGGAGGGATTACCCCTGCAGTGCCATCTGCCTCTGCTCCTCCTCCTCAGCCTCCTGCACCTCCTGCTATGATGCACCAAAGGTACAAAGCCAAGCACTCACTCCAAGCACCCCTTTAAGCCAGCAAAACGCAATTCTCTCCGAAGCAGCAGCGCTCTGAAGCACCTTTCCACAACCATCAGACCTCTGGGCACCCAGCTCTGCGCTAACGACAGCCAAAGAAGCGTGAATCACCACAGGAACTGTGTAAAAACCAAAAGCCAAAGGGACTTTTAGGGTGTTTCCCAAAGCACCCACCCATCCCACACTCTGCATGCAGCCTCCAGCATGGGGAACTCCACGACCCCGGAGCCCAAACCCTGTTGGCATCCAGGTGTGCTCTGAATTCCCCCACGGCCTCGAGTCCATCCAACACACAATGGGAGGACATGGGAATCACTTCCTAACCTCTTCCCCTCTTTGCAGACACGACGGCTGAGACGAAGAAAAGAACACCGTCACTGCATTGGAAGCTACATCCTCTGCACGAAGCGGTCATCTCTGTTTTTAGTACGGCTGTGATTTTATACACAGATTTTTTTCCCCCCCCCGGCAGATGGATGATGCCATCCTGAGCCATAAAAGCTGTGCAAACACTGAGGAGCTTTGTAATGACTAGCTTCTTTCCTACTTCCTATTATTCTGTTGTAAATATGAACTCCTGCCAATAAAGTGACTAACAATTGACTTTCTGTCTCAGTTGTGTGTGACAGCGTGGAAGCACACTGCTGATTGCAATGCCTGCACGGAAAGCACAGCATTGTTATCCCGATGGGGCGAACCTGCCCGGCCCCACTTCTGTCTCTAAGCAGCAAAATCTCAGCAGCTTTGGGGATTGAAGCAGATTTTTGCCATTTCCCAGCTCTGTACATTGTTAGATGTTAATGGAGATGCTTTGGTACAGCCCAAAGGATGGTTGTCCTGAGATGCCAGGAGTCAACACTGTGAGGTTTAATAGGAATTACAGAAATCAGAGAGACGGGAGAAATCAAAGCTCAGGTTGGAGGGGACCTCAGAGGTCAGCTGGTCCAATCTATTGTGATAAAAGCACATCCCATAGCAGAGCATCCAACACTTTGTGTATCCAAACCTTACATTCTCCAGTATTAGTTTCCACCATGGCCCTGGGGAGTTGTTGCAGCGTCTGCATGTTACCATAGTGACAAAATTGTCCTCTTGGGACCAACTGGAATCTCCTCCAGTGCCACTGGTGCCCATTTCCCATTTTTTTGTGCATGGTTCCTTGTAAATGAGGAGCGTCCGACTCCTTTGCAGACAGTCATCAAATACTGGGACACACAGATGAGGTCTCCTGAGCCTTTTCTCCAGGCTGAACAAGTCCAGCCCCTCACCAGCCCTTGAAGCATCCCACGGTTCTGCTTTGAATCCTCTCCAGTCCATCTCCAGCCTTTCTGAATGGCAAAAAGCGAGACCAGCATTCCCAGTATGGTCCAAGGAGCACGGAGCAGAGCAGGATATTTCTTACTTTGCTGATGCCACTGGCACTGCCTTGGCTTGCAGCGACTGATAGCACAGCTTCACCTCCAGAGGGTGAATGATCAGCCAACACCAGCAGAGCAGTGGTGCGCAGCTACTGCAGGAGCTCCATAACGTTCCTCCCTTGGACCTTTAAAGATCTTAGAAGCACGGAAATACAGAAGGGGTTGGGTTGGAGGGGACTGTAAAGACAACAGAACCATGGAATCGCAGCACAGTTGGGTGGGAAGAGATCTGGAAGATCATAGATCCATGGAATCACAGAACGGTTGGGTTGGAACGGGCCTTAGAAACCACGGAACCATGGAACAACGGAAGGGGTTGGGCTGCAAGGGACCTTAAATTCTTTACTCAGAGGGCAGTGAGGCCCTGGCGCTGCTGCACAGAGCAGTGTGGGTGTCCCACCCATGGAGGCATCCCAAGAACAGCGGGGAGGACCTGGTGGGTCTCCAGGGGTCCCCCAGAACAAGTAGGGCCACGTGGAAGACCGCTGACCATAGAGAGCGGCAGGGCAGAGAGGCTCCAATGGGAGGAAAGGGACTTCCGGGTGGCCGGGATGGACGGGCGCGGCTATAAAGGGCGTGGCCATGCAAATATATTGCAGCGCTGCACCAATCAGACGCACCCGGGAGCACGAAAGGACCGCTGGGAGGGCCAAGCGGGTGCGTTCTCGGCTTAGTGCGGAGAGGAAAACGGTTCAAAAGAAGTGCCGAAGCGATGGGGGAAGAGTGCTCGGGTGTTTAGTTGTACTGGGGGTGTCACGGCGTCTGGTACTCCCCATGCTCAGCAATGCTTTATTGGGCAATGTACACAGTAAAACCAACGGAAGCATCTCTTTACTGCAACGTGGACAGGTCAGGTTGGGGGAAGGATGCGGGGACACTCATTCAGCTCACTTCCTGGGTGCCCTTGCAGGGACAGCCTCAAACATCCTCTCCTGGAGCACGACTGATGCAGATGCTTCCATGGGAGTTTGGTGCTCCATTCCTTTTGGCTCTCTGCTGCATGCAGTGAGGACATGGACAACAACCACCCCCAGCAATAGGATCCCCAGCGCTGCCAGCAGCAGCAGCGCTCTGACAGGGCTGCAGAAGAGTGAGGAGACACCTGGGAAACAAACCACCCTCACGGACCTCAGAGCTGAGCGCGTTCTGCCCAACTCCTGCACCCAGCCACTCAGATTCTGCCTTTCTCCCAGCTGCTGCCATCAGGACATCGCCAGGTTCTGGTGGCAGCAGCTGGAAGGATGCAGGAAGAGGTGTAAGATCCAAGATCCAAGACCTAGCTGAAGGCAGCCTTGCCCATTGCAGAGGTTGGAACATCTTCTTTAGGAAGATGTACTTTGAAGAGATATGGAAACAAGAAGCCCCTTCCCCAAAGCTCAGCCCACAAAGCCAACAGTTCTGCCTCCCATACGCACGGGGCTGTTTGTCCCAGGACAGCACAGAGCAGTTCTCAGCACTCACCATAGGAGATGCTCAGGGTGATGGAGTTGCTGGACATGGAGCTGGGGCTCTGGCACTCATATTTTTTTCACCCCTCCATCCAGAGGAATGGGACTGTGATGGAACCTTCTCATGTAAGGCTTTTCCTGCCCTCCTTCCCCACTGTTTTGGGCTCTATTCACATCCAACCCCTGAGGTCATGCACATTATTTCTTTGGACTTTTTTTTTTTAGCCTTCCCAGAAGGAGATTCTATGCTGACACCAATGGAAAGAAACCCACTTTTCAAGTGGAGAAAAGTCTTCAAAGGTCACAGAGGGGGAAGAAGCTCTACTGTAGGGTCAGGATCTTTGTCTTTCGTCAATGTTTGCTACTTACAAAGATGAACCTCCATGGGGATATGGAGGTGGCTGCCAGCAAACGTGCATCATCAACATGAAAACATGAAAAATAAGGGCATTTGCAGAAGATTTCTGTAAGGTAAGAACTCGGAATATCGACCTACTGTTGTTTTTCCTTTGTCCATATATTTGAAAGACAAGCCACACTTATCAAACGAAATACCAACACAAGGTTCCAAACCACTGCCTGACCACCGGATTTCTACTGGAAACACAGCAGCTTGCTTAAAGCATCAGACAGGTCCAACAAGCAGAACTGGGGGAACAAACAGGGTTAAAACATCAAAGCACCCAGGAGCTACCGAAAAGAACGAGGGAAGGGGAACATGGTGGAAGAAACGCACCTTGGATGGGGAGCACGCGAGCACTGCGAGCGTCAGCGGCCGAGACGCCGCCGTCAAAAGTCATCATCTCCCGCCTGAAGCCTTCTGGGGTGTCGTAAAGGAGCAGGATGGGGATTTATGGAGGAATAGACGTAAAATAAAAGAGACACCTGCCTGGAGATCATCTCTGCCGGGACTCGAACCCGGAACCTCTGGATTAGAAGTCCAGCGCGCTCGTCCATTGCGCCACAGAGACCTCACCGTGAGCACAGCAGCGGCACCAGAACTGAAAAATCCCGCACCCCGCATCACTGGGGGGGTCCCCACACCCCACTCCCACCCCACGGCACCGAGACGGCACGAAAACCTGGCGCCCAGATCCATCTCCCTTGCAACCCGACATCTCAGCATCCCTTCCTCCCAGTCAGATGGGCGATAATCCCGGGTATGATCCATATCTCGCTCAGCAGCGGGGATGCAGCAAAAACCTGGAGGTAGGATTGTGTCTGCATCCCTGGCAACCTCTCCGCAGCATCTGTGGCTCAGCTGAGGGCAGAGCTAAATCCTGGAGCAGAGTGAATCGCTGCCTCTCCCAGAGCATCGTCACAGCATCCTCATCGCAGGGGAAAAGATGAAAGAAGATTCCGCTTACGATGCCAAACAGTGACAATAAGGAAGAAAGCTCTGCTTGTCACGGTGAAGAACAAAGAAACCTGCGGTTTAAGCAGAGAAATAAAAGAAAATGCAGCCATCGTCTTTTATTTTAAGCAAGCAGTCAATTGAGGGTGTTTAATTCTTCTCTAAGTGCATCTTCTGTCAGAAAAAATACAGGTGTCAAAACACGAGGAAAACCTTTTGCATCCTCCGAGCCACTACACAACAGGTGAAGCTCTGCCTCCTTGCTGCGATGACCCACATCCTGCATTTCTAAACCCCACAGTTTCTGGAGCAACGCTTACTCCCAAAAAGAGGGAGAAATCGGGCTGTGTGGCGATGCGGCGCAGGAGCAGAAACGCAGTGCCAGCCATCTCAGTGCTTCCCAGGTTAAACTGAAGCACTGGGTTCCACCCTTGGTGGTTCGTAGGAGGGTTTTCCATTGTCCTGACGCCTGCTTTTCAGTGGGTAAATGGCTTTTTAATGGGCGCTGAGGGTTTGTGCTCTGAAGGGCTGCAGAACATCAGTAGGGCGAGTGGGAAATCGGAACCAGAGTTTTTCCCTTCCTCTTTGCTCTGCTTTTCCTTGGAAGAAGGCTGCAAAGAGAGGAGAGGAAGGCGAGGGTTGAACTTCTATCAGACAAAACCCTTTCTGCTGCAAGTGGTGTCCAGAGAATCAACAGCCCTTGAGATAAATGGCTGCATGAACCAACTGCAGCGCCACAACCCCACCTCCACCTTGAGGATGCATGAAGAAAACGCCTACAGGCAGGGTGAACAAGGGCTGAGCTTAAAGGCTGCCACCTCATAAATCTCTGACCAAGTCATAAAGACCTGAGGTTGAACAGAAAAGAAGAAACAAATTTCACACAGCTCGTGACCGCACCGCGTGTTTCATGCTGGAACCAACCAACTTGGGGAGGTGACAGCCTCACAGGTCAGGGGATGGGGACAGGGAGGAATCTGCCCCTTCTAGCCTTCCCCAAGCTGTTGGCTGTCCCTCTGTTACTTCCAAATGCAATAAACCTCAAAAGAAGAGATTGGAGCAACCAGCACACCTGCAGGTCAACCATTTTTGATGCCAAGAATGCCAACAGAGCCATTGGTAGGAGAAGGACAATGAGCTGCTTTGAGACCGAAGCCACATCTCCATTTAGATGAAGAGATGAGGTTGTCCAACATGAGTTACAATGCTGTCAGGTGTTTACAACATGTCCCCAGTGCTCAGAAATGTTACGGGGATGAAAGAGCTGCAAACAAAGTGCAAATCATCCCCCAGCTCGGCCCCGGTTTGCTGCAAATGGGAAGAACGCACACCATGTGCAATGATACCAGGGAGCCAAAATAAACCAAAATAACTGCCCACCTTATAGACAGCTCCAAATTTCTCCAAATCCTTCCGACTTGCTGCCTATTTTCTTTTTTCCTAACTGTAATGATTTATTTGCCTTCCTTCTCTCGCCAACCATCGAACGCCCCAAGCACAGCCGCTTGGTTTGATCACCATGTCCTCAAAACTGCAATGTCTTTGTGTCTAAAAGGCACTGCACCAGCAACCCCTGCATTTGGCTCCCCTTCGTCGTCAACGTCTCATTATGAGACAGAGCCAGAAGTCACCAAGCTGGTGATAAAGAAAGACTCCAATCAGAAACCCCCACATCCAAACCCCTTCTCCTGCAGAGCAGAGCTCAGAGATGTGCTCCCCAACCCCCCTTGAGCCTGCTGTGCAGGTGGAGCAGGATTTGGAAGCATTACTGGGGTATCCAACGCAAGGTCACCACCTCCAGCAAAGCAACCTGAGGACAGGGGACATTTCCTGGAGGACAACACGGGTCTGGTTGGCACCATCCCTGCTGCCTTGGCATAGCTGAGGGAAAAAGATAAACCTGAGCCTGGGTGGGACAGCACAGAGCTCAGCAGCTGTTGGAGATGGGGTTGCCCAGCTTTCCTCTATTGGTTGGTGGTCCTGCAGAGCATGAGCTGAGGAGCTGCAACCTTCCAGGCCTCAGGACTGGGAACACAAGAATCAAGGATAAAACTCCCCTTCTCCGCCCCACAAGGGCTTTCCAAAGTTTAATGTTATGCCCTGAGTGATGACCAGGCACAGCTTGAGCGCGTTTGGGGCTCACAGCATCCTCTCTGCACGCGTTCCTCAGCACGCCTGATCACATGAACGCTCCAAGTCTGCCAGAATGCATCCAAACCTGCACCCCACCATCACCCAAGCACAGCTGTACAGTTCTAGGCACATTCGTGCCAACCTCATGGGCAAGACGGTGTTTCTGAGCACCCCTGCTGCTCTGCAGCAATGGCAACTTGGTTTTGAAGCAGCCAGAAAGCAAAAAGTCCCTCTGCCTTTGCTCCTTGCAGAAGAGCAGCATCAGCAATCTCTGCGTGCCACCGATGCCGTGTGATCCACAACCACCTCTGCCTAGGATGGAGATTGATGCCTCCAGGAGGACGGTGCCGTTTATGATTCATAAATTCAGGGCACATTTTGAAGGCAGATGTGAGGAGCTGGCATCTCTCCTCCAAGGAATACGGATCAGCCTCAGCACCGTGTCCTCCCCACATTTTAGCACGTTTTCTCTCCAAATCAACCTTTCCAGCAGCACCTCCCGCCTCGTCCCCAGCCCCACGTGCAGCAGGAAGGGCTGTGCCTCAGTTTCCCATCCCCACTTGGCTGTGTGGGCTCAGCCTGCCCGCCCCCCCCCCGGTGTCCCCACCGTCCCCAACCCATCGTGGTGGGACGCGTCGGCGCCACCATCGATGCTCCAGCTCTTCCCAAAGGGTTTCCCCATCACTCACTCGCTCTCAGCCCGATGCTTTCAGTTCCGCCGTCTCCTCCCAGCACTTCGGGACTTTCTCCCGTGTTTCAGGAAAATGAAAGTAGAAAAGAAAAAACAAGTTTTGTTTTCTTCTTTTCCACCTCCGGGCTCCCCAAACCCTTTCCCCATCCTCTCCCCTTCTCCCTCCAACTTTTGCCCCATTTCTCCCCCCGCTCTTTCTGCCTTTTCTCCGCGATTCCACCCCCCTCTTCTTCTCCGTCCCGTCTCCCTTTGTCCCCTCTCGTCCTGCCCTTTCCGCCCGGGGGGGGGGGGGGGGGGGGCCCCAGAGTTTCCATGGGGATGGAGGCGGTGGTTGCAGGAAAAACACAAAGACGATGGGGGAAGGGGAGGGGGCAGCGGGGACGTGGCTCAAAGAGCCGTGTGGGCTTGGGGGGCACCGCGCTCCCACCACTGCGGCCCCACTTTTTGCTTTAATTCATGCTTCTGGCCTCGTGCTCCTTTCTTTCTGAAGGAACACTAACGGGCCCTATAGGAAAAGGAAAGAAAAAGTTGTTAGAAGTAACCAGAAATACGTGGCTGTTCCGGATCTGCTCCTCCACGCTTACATCAGAGGTTGGGGAGGGTGAGAGATGTGGTTTGGGTCATGCAGAGCAAGCAAAGAGCATCGAAGGGCTGTCTGACCTCATGGGCATCTCCATCAGCACGTCCAGATCGACTCCGTCCCATGGGAAATCGTGGGCACCCAAAGGGGTGCTGCTGCCACCCAACGGGATGCCACTGTTGAATCACAGAATCTTTTGAGTTGGAAGGGACCCTTAAAGGGCCCAACCTCCCTGCAAAGAACAGGGAAACCCAGAGCTCCATCGGGTGCTCAGAGCCCCATCCAGCCCAACGTTGGGCATCTCCAGGGATGGGGCACCGTCACCAACCTGGGGAACCTGTGCCAGTGCCTCACTGCCACGACTCCAATCAACTTTTTCCATCCATCCAGTCTAAATTTTCCTCCCCGAAACCATTCCCACTTGTCCTATCACACAGACCCTGCTGAGGAGTCCGTCCTGCTCTCTGTCACAGCCCCCACAGGGCACTGCCACCACCACCCAATGGGGACACCGGGGTGATTCAAGTGTCACCAGTTCCTGAAGCAAAGAGCAAAGTTTGGGTGAAGCCAATGTTTCCGGAGGCTGAGCAGGGTTCACAGCCACAACCAATCCATGTCACACCTCCCTCATGCATATTAACTATTTTATCTCCCAATGCTGATCAGTTGTATCAAACTGCGTGTGTTTGTAAAGGTGTTCAGCTCTATTTTCCCCTCACCTGTTTGCAGTCTGCTCATCCCACCCATCCTCTGTCCTTGCCTGCAGTGGCTTTGCTTCTTGCCACGTTCCTTTGGCTCTCCTCCCATGCACCTGACAGGGAGGCACTGCTGTAGGAGGTGGATCTGAATTACAGCCTGCAAGGTTACAGCCTGTCACAGAAGGGCTTTTAATCTGGAAAGGCACAAGATTCATGTCAGGACACCAGAATGCATTAAAACCATTAAAAATCAAACAAGTTGTAATTATAAGACGACAATCATTGATTTTACACTTAATTCTAACAGCGTGCCACAGTTGTTAGCTTTAATCTGTTAGGATTTCACTTTTCCATTAATTAGCCAAACAAAACTAGGCTAACTGCTCATAAGACTCATGGAGAGCACAGAGGCTGGAGGGCAATGGAGAGGACGGATCCCTTCCCTCCTTTGCACCCCGAGGTCTTACCTCACATTATCTCTTACACCAACTTGATGCTGCTGTAGGAGAGCTTGTGAGTAGGGCTGAACTCTACAGGTAGAACTCTACTGGTAGAACTCTACTGGTAGAACTCCATAGGAGCATGGAGGGGACGTTGGATGGAAGAAGCTCTTCTGAACTGGACCAATCTCCCTGTGCTGCAGCAGTGCTTTCCTGAATAGAATTTTGCTGGTTCAGTTTGCCTGGCTAAAAACCACAAAAAATAGCATCTGCTTTGCGTAGGATTGGGCCAAATGATTCCTCAGAGCAAAGCAGGCTGCATGACGGTGCTACAGAAGGGCAGACCTCCATCTAGGAAACAACTGGAGGAGGAAGGGGACTGCAAACTTTATGTGGGCTTTACCTCTGACATGAATCTCCATACATGAAGCTCGTTGCTGCAGGGTGGAATCCAAAGGCCTTTAAATTCCAGCCCTGGGTATTTATCTGGGGGGAATGAAGTGGATGTGGTCTTTTTTGTGCAGGCTGGGAGCAAGAAAAGAGGGGAAAACCTGCTATCTGAGATTCCAGAGCTAATGAGGGAAATGGCTTCGGAGGAATGCTGATTTTAGGCTCTAAATACTGAAGTCATGAAGACCCGAAGGAGAGCACTTCCAGAGTTCTAAAGGCTCCTTCCCAACGCCGTGCACTCTGTGCTTCAGCTGCTGTGTTCCTACAGGTTCCCACTTGGTGCCACTGTTGTTCTGTATTTGTCCCCAGTAGCAGAGCAGCAGAGCGGGGAGCTCAGGACGGGCAGGAGAGGGGGGTGAGGACAAGGCAAGCACAGTTCAGCAAAGCAGAACAGGGCTGGAGTCCCTCACTGCAGAGATTTCCTGCAGCAAGACCCTTCTACTTGCAATTCGGGCAGGGACTCATTGCCATGGCTGAGCAGAAATGGGGAATCCTGAGCCTGTGGGGACGTGGTGTGCGGTGGGAACCCTGCTGAGGCTTTAGGGCTCTTGGTGCCTTTTTTTTTTTTTCCCTTTTTTTGAAGGTTTTTCTATATTTCCCATTCTTATTCAGAGGATCCCCAGCTACCGGTGCGTGGTGCTACGTACAGATGTGATTTGATTTCGTCCCCAAAGCGTCCTGAGATGCTGCTTGTCCCTGCTGAACGGTTGGCTTAGCAGAGAAGGAGCCGAGGCTTGGGTGTGCGATGCGTGGATCTGGAGGAAGCAGTGAGCTCCTGCAGCCAGGAGAGCTTCCTTGGCCATGGTGGCGATGGGCTGATGGTTGGAACTGATGGTCCGTGCCGCTCTTCTCCAACCTTAATGGCTCTGCGATTGCCCCAGGTGTTGCTGCTGCACCTCTGGCCCCATCCTGCTCTCCTCTCCATCTGCTCACAGCGAAAGCTCATCACTGGGAAAGATCAGTGTGTATGCAGAGGTCCCTTCGGGGGCTGATGGTGTCAGTAAGGCCTGAAAGAAGTTTGCACAGGGTGTCATCAGAGCTGCCTCTGTCAGGCAGGCGAGCGCCGTCGCACGGAGCTGAACTTGCAGTTGTATGGCCGTCATAACGAGGTGCTGGATATTAGCTGATGGCTTTTTGGCCTCTGGCCCAGTGAATGTTACAACAGAACAAATAGAGCCGTCAGATCTCCCCCCACAGCCCTCCTTAAACCGCAGCCCGGGCTTTGCGTGGCTCCTGCTTTACAGGGGATGTAGGATTTCATTACCTTGCTTCCTCCTAAAGAGATGTTTTCAGCCCCCTAAGATTTTCTGGATCTTTACTGACAGTTTAAGCACCTGCAGCCAATGAGAAACGCGGTGCCACTGCGAGGATTCCTTTTCTTTTTGATATATATCTCTGTATAAAACCCAATCACACCGCCAGTGCTGCTCGGCTGTAGAGCTTCTCATTGATATTTGAGCTTCCCAAACAGCAGCCCATCCTTCACAGCTTATTAACAGCCACTGCTGCCAACTTCTCCCATTTGGAAAAAAAAGGAAAAGAAAAAAGCCCACACATGAATTCTGGTTGTCCTGCAAGGCAATTGTGTGGCTTCTATGGCAGTTCTCCTGGACTGAGCTCGTGAAGCGCTGTGATAATTTTCATCGTCTACGCACAGCTTATCAATCTGGCCTTTAATTGTTATGAGCTGCCTCCATCTCTGTGAGTTACAGAGACTGATGGAAGGTTTGGACAAGGCAAGCAGGGCTGCTCAGCAATGGATGAAGGTCTTTGAGGTCCCTTCCAACCAACGCCATGCTATGATTCTGTTCAAGACCCGCTGGTTGGGTTCGGACAACGCCAATGCCTGAATTAACAATGAATTAACAATGAATTAACAATGATTTCTAAAGGTGATCTCAAGCAGCCACACCTGCTGACCTCAAAGATCAGTGCCAACCCCACAGACGCTCCATGTCCACAAACTCCCCGAGTTTGGGGAGCAACTGGGGGACGGCGTGCTGCGGATGTGATAATCAAGCCTCAGTGACAGCTCAATTTATCACCGTGCGAGCTCCAACGTTCTGACTCCGGAGAACGTTCCCCCTTGTCATTGCTTGCTTTTTACTCCCAATGAAAAATCTCCGACGAGATTCCCTTTGACGGCTCTCTTTGCATTCCTGGCGCACGCTCAGCTAGCCAAGCAAGTCTGTAAATAATTGAGCACCCGGCGTTCCCTTCGCGCTTCCCACCAGAACTGGCTCGGTTTGCTCCCGACAGCAAATATTTAGCGAGGTAATCAATTCCCCCCCCCTTGCCCCCCCCCCCCCCCCCCCAAAATCTTCATTTGGATAAGAAAACAAAATGCTTCTCGCGGATCTGGTATCTGATTATTGCTGGCACCCGTCCTGCCTTTCTTAGAGAGCCGTTTGCGGGGTGCCGTACCGGGAGATAATTATGGAGGATCACAGAAGCAGTTCAATTAGCTGCAGCTAATGCTTCCTATTAGCATTTTGCTGGAGCTTTTGGAGTTTTTTCAGCTGAAACACATAAACAAGCTCAAACATTCGCACGCGAAAGCGGAGACAGAAACAGAAACAAAGAGTGGGGAAGGCATCAGGAGAACCGCAGAGCAGGAGTGGTGCAGCGGGGGCTGCCTGCAAGATGTGGGCAACGCTGTGGTTCATCCCTTAGGGCATGGGTGCAACTCTTCAGCGTCCCAATGCTGAAAATACAAACCCCCTCTGGAGCATTAAATGGGGACTTTGCATTCCTCTCCATGATCTATCTGCCCCCCAAGTGTCTCCACGCTGCCTTGTATGAGATTTGTGCCTCTTTGGGAGCCACGGAGCCATGGATGTCAGCTGTGGATGCTCTGCTGTGGATCCCCACCTCCCACCCACTGCGTTGAGTCATTGGCTGTTGCAGGCTCCACGTCAAACAACTCATTTCGTGAACCTGTCTGCCTTTACCTTCACATTATCCTTGTCCCCCGTGCCCACTGCCTGTGAGAAGA